TATTAATCTTTGGTTGGGTAAGTAGCTTCCAAATATTTTCTTCCATTCTGTAGGATGTTTTCATTCTGTTGATTGATTGCCTCCTTGGTTGTGTAGATGTTTCTGTATTTGATATAACCCAATTTGTCTACTTTCCTTGTTGCTCTTAGAGTCATCTCCAAAAAATATTTGTCTATACTAATTACAGATTTTAAGACCATGATGAAGTCAAGGGAATTATTCATGCTTAAAGGGAGTATTTTGAAATTGATGTTCTATTAAGTGGATTACCTTGAAAGTTCATTTTAGAATTTGATGATGAGTGATAAGATATCTCATAATACTTTTCCTCTGTAGATTTTTCTGTATTCTAGTTGGTACTATTTGAATTCATGCCAGTTCTATTTAAATGTAAAACTATTTCACTCTCAATTTATGTATTCTTATGACTTAATTCTTTAACAGCAGCTCCTTTATATTAAGTTCAGATTTGGTACAAATATGGTGAATTTTACCGATTATATTTGAATCAATTTTCTCTCAGGTATTTATGATTTTCTTAATTTAAGCATTTTAGCAAAGAATTTGGTTATTATTTTCATTTCAGGGTCCACCACAAATATAATTGTAACTGTCTGTGGTTACAATAGATTCCCATTTTCAGTTTCATGAGAGCTAGCCAATTTCATGAAAAGCAGTTGTGGGGAGAATAGGCAAGAGGGTTATAGGAGCTGAGATCAGGAAAGAAGGTGGAGATGAGGCCAGCTAGGCTTTGAATGTCATTGAAATTTTAGTGCTGTTCTGAGATAGGAATCTCTTGGAAGGATTTAAGTAGAGGATTGAAAGTGAGAGAATCTCTGATTTTATTTTGGTCTATAATGCAAATGAGGGAAATTGTTCAACACTGTAGAAATTACTAGCTTCAGTTATGAAGTATGTTGTCTATGGAATATGTATCACTTTTATGCCATCATGAGTCTGAAAAATTGAAGAGAAACAATCACAAGTCTGTTTGTGACCATTTGTATGTAACTTAGAAGTAAATATTAAGACAATTTGATCATAAAATGATTTATAAAATAGTAATATAAATGTCTTCTCAAGAAGTGGTGAGCCACCTTCATCAATGGGCTGATAACAAAAAGCACATCCTGTATCAGAGCAGTGACAGGAGGCTGTAAGAATTTACTGCTTTAAGTCAGCAGATGAAATAAAGTATATAAAGAAGATATTAAGGGAAACCCAAAGACAAGTATATATGAAAATTAGCATGTCAATGAATTCTATACTGGTTAAAGAATGTGCACTAGAATAAAAATCACAGTGAACGTAATTTTTAAAAAAATATTTTATTATAATTAAGACAATTTTGTCAATATGATAACTTCTTACACCATCTTATTCTGCCATTTTTCTTACACTTAAATTCTTTCTAAAGATAGTATTTATATTTGAGAATGTTGCAGATTTTGCACTAGTCCTCCTAAAAGTTGAGAGACTTTATCATCTACATATTGCCATTCAACTTCAAAACTTTTTGCACCAAAATTGACTTATCTTTAAGATCATTTCCCACAAACTCTTTTTTTTTTTGACAGGCAGAGTAGACAGAGAGAGAGACAGAGAGAGAAAGGTCTTCCTTTGCCGTTGGTTCACCCTCCAATGGCCGCCGCGGCCAGCACACTGCGGCTGGCGCACCGCACTGATCCGATGGCAGGAGCCAGGAGCCAGGTGCTTTTCCTGGTCTCCCATGGGGTGCAGGGCCCAAGCACTTGGGCCATCCTCCACTGCACTCCCTGGCCACAGCAGAGAGCTGGCCTGGAAGAGGGGCAACCGGGGCAGAATCCGGCACCCCAACTGGGACTAGAACCCGGTGTGCCGGGCCGCTAGGCGGAGGATTAGCCTAGTGAGCCGCGGCACCGGCCCCCACAAACTCTTAAAGATTTATTGTATTTTACTTGAAAGTCAGAGTTACACAGAGAGAGGAGATGAAAGAGAGAGAGAGAGAGGGAGAGGGAGAGGGAGAGGGGGGCAGAGAGAGAGAGAGAGGTAGTCTATCCGGTGGTTCACTCCCCAATTGGCTGCAACGGCTGGAGCTGCATTGATCTGAAGCCAGGAGCTATGAACTTCCTCCAAGTCTCCCACATGGGTGCAGGGACCCAAGGGCTTGGGCCATCCTCTACTGCTTTCCCAGGCCACAGCAGAGAGCTGCACAGGAAGTGGAGCAGCTGGGTCTGGAACCGGCGCCCATATGGGATACCAGCACTTCAGGCCAGGGCATTAACCCACTGCGCCACAGTGCCGGACCTTCCACAAACTTTTAAAAATGCTGTTTTGAACACTCTTATCTGTATAGTTCATGTAACACCATAGAGCTCACCTATCCAAATAAGTGTAGCTCTGTGTCCTTAGTATATTCCCAGAGTTGGATAACCAGCACCACAATCAATTTTAGAACAGCTTTTAACATCCTGAGAGAAAACCTTCTATAATTCACCCATCCTGCCTTTAGCTCCTATCTCTTCCCTAGTCCTTAGGCAACCAAATATGTACGTTTAGTGTCTCATGATTTGCCTGATGTGGATATTTCATTTAAATAAGGTCATTCCTACAATATGCAGCCCTTTATGACTGATTTCTTTCACTTAACATTTCCAAGGTCAATTCATGGTATAGAATCTATCAATACTTCTTATTATTTTTCAAATAATATTGTACTGTGCAGAATACAGTTCTTTGTAGGAATTATTCATTCATCAGTTGATAAACATTTCATCAGTTGATAGAACACTGTTTCCATTTTTTGACTATTATTAACGCTATTGCTATGAACATTCATTTCCAAGTTAATGTATGGAATATGCTTTTTACTTCTCTGCCTGTGGACGCCAGTAAAGTGAATGTCTCTGGCCAGTTTCCCCCCCCTTCCTCCTTTTTCACACTGCTGTTTTAGTTTCTGTTGATCTGTACTCATTGTATTCAGACCCTACTCCAGAGGTCCTTTCACTGATGGGATGTTCTGTGTTCTCATTGATTTTTCTCTTTTCAGTACTTGTCATCTAGTTTATGGAGAATAATGTGGCCTTTAAGTTTATATTGCTTTTACTTATCTGCATAATAGATAATTTGTCTACAGTGACAGTTGTGCTGTAAATTTGCCTAAGTGGACATATGTGATATAAATGTGTAGATTGAAAATGTTACAGTTGGACAGTTAAGTTAAAATTAAGTACTTTGTGCCATTCCATCTGTGTTTCTTGAGACACTGACAGGAACATTATGAGTGAATGAATGAATGAATGAATGAAGCTTTTCTTCTAAACACATTTTAGGCAATTAAGTACAATATTCAAATACTTAATCCTGTTTCTGGAGAATTGTTCTATAAAATGCTAATGCTCTACTCACTGGGAGAATATAAAATCTGAAGTTTGCTTCCCTTTATTATATAGCCAGAGCTGGGACTCGTAGCTTTACAGCTCTTTACCAGTGGAAAAGTCATACATTTTCTTACACACCAAACCATGGAGCACCACTCTATCCTCAGATTGCTTGCTAGAGCAACCTGAGAATGAAGAGTGATTTTGGAAATTTGATTTAGCTATAGAGTCTGGTCTTTTCATTAGTACATTTAGGCCAATTTTTATGGCCATGTAAGATATGTGCTACTCGAATTCGGAGTCCTGTTTATATTGTATTTCATTATTATTGCCCACTGAGTTTACAGAAAAAAGTAATTTTTAAATTATAAGTTGCAGGCCGGCGCCGCGGCTCACTAGGCTAATCCTCCACCTAGCGGCGCCGGCACACCGGGTTCTAGTCCCGGTCGGGGCGCTGGATTCTGTCCCGGTTGCCCCTCTTCCAGGCCAGCCCTCTGCTGTGGCCAGGGAGTGCAGTGGAGGATGGCCCAGGTGCTTGGGCCCTGCACCCCATGGGAGACCAGGAAAAGCACCTGGCTCCTGGCTCCTGCCATCGGATCAGCGCGGTGCGCCGGCCGCAGCGCGCCATCCGCGGCGGCCATTGGAGGGTGAACCAACGGCAAAAGGAAGACCTTTCTCTCTGTCTCTCTATCTCACTGTCCACTCTGCCTATCACAAAAAAAAAAAATATAAGTTGCATAAAGGATGGGTGGCTAATAAAATTAATGAAAGCTTTATAATGAGCTGGCAATGTATTCTAGGCCTCATGCTCCCAGTTTGCTGCCACTTTGGTATGAAGGATTCAGTACCACTTTATAAGAGATCACTTCTATTGCTACGCTCCCCTTCCCAAATATGTCATTTTATTCAAACATGAATTCAATAATAATAATGCTATTGAAATATTTCCCTGACTATGTGACACATCTTCTTTGAAGTTCTTTACATATACCTTTAATTTAATACCTCCCACTTTCAAGTGAAGTAGACACTATTATTTCCATTGTACAGGTGAAGAACTAACACAGGGCAAATGAATTTGCTGAAGGTCACACAGATAGTGGAGCCAGAATCCAGGCACTCTGGCTTCATTGTTGGTGTGGCCACTGAAAAATTCCATTGAACATTTGTTGTCTATAACATCATGTTAATTTTTATGATCTCTGGGATACCAATGGTCATTTGCACATATGAATATTTAAAATTATAGTTGATTTCATAGTACTTGGATTTCAAAATTATAGCTATTTTCCATAAGGTAATCTTCCATTCCTTTAACTGGCCAATATTGTAAATCTGAGAATTTTTCTGATAGAACATAATCAAAACCAAGTCTACTCCTGTGTCATTTTCTTGAGCAGAAGACTATAAACTTTCTGTAATGGCCCAGACAGTTCTGTTTTAGATTTGAGGTCATAGCATCCCTGTTGGCACAACTCAGCTTTGAAGTTATAGCATAAATGTAGTCATGAATAAGATGAAAAGGAAGAGTCATTGCTATGTTCTAATGAAATTTTAGTCATAAATCCAGGTACTTCCCAGATTCATACCAGATACTGGTAAATCTCATGTTTTTTTTTTTTTTTTTATTCTTTGTTGTAGTTCCAAGAATCAGAAGATGAACAAAAGGCGGTGGTACAAAACACTGAGAAAATTCAGGATCATCTGGAAAAGTATAATTCAAACAACCATTCAAAATAACTCGAGTCTTTCTAAAGCATATATGCTATGTACTATGAGAATTATATCATTTTAAACATAAATACATCTGAGTAAAGCATGGAAAACTTTTAGCATTAAACTATTCTGAAATGCATAGCTTTTGCACATTATCCCTAAATTTTGTGCATTATTGACAAAGCAACATAGAATAATGATATATTTGCCAAGAAATTGACTTCAAATTTCTAGAATTTGCATAATAACACTTTCAGATATTTATTCTGAAATATATTTTCTTAAATTGATCTGTGAGAATCATTAATTTAAAATATGTATTTTAGGCATGATCAGGAAAATCGTGAGTTGAAAGATACAATACTAAAGCAAGCAAGGGAAATTAAAAATCTTCAGGAAATCCTTTTCAGACTAATTTCAGTAAGTCAATCATTCACCTTTTGTCTACTATGTATAAGGCTACTATGGGAATTGATAATAACTATCTCTTGGAGTCCCTGCTAATTGTTAATATATTTTGGCATGCCAAGAAATGACAGCAGCGATGCAATCTAGAATTCTGAATATTTCATAATCTAAAGCAGTGAGATTTTAAGACTAAATTATTGTGATGTTGTAAGTTATATTTCCTTTTTTTTAAAGATTTATTTATTTATTTGCAAGTCAGAGTTACACTGAGAGAGGAGAGGCAGAGTGAGAGGTCTTCCATCCGGTGGTTCACTCCCCAGATGGCCGCAAAGGCTGGAGCTGCGCCAATCTGAAGCCAGGAGCCAGGAGCTTCTTTTGGGTCTTCCACACAGGTGCAAGGGCCCAAGGACTTGGTCCATCTTCTGCTGCTTTCCCAGGACATAGCAGAGAGCTGGATCAGAAGAGGAGCAGCCGGGTCTTGAACCAGCACCCATATGGAATGCCAGTGCTTCACGCCAGGGTGTTAACCTGCTGTGCCACAGCGCAGCCCCAAGTTATATTTCTTTTATTAAAAGATTTATTTGAAAGGCAGAGATACACACACACACACACACACAGAGTGAGAGGGGGAGAGAGAGAGCGAGCGAGCAAGCAAGCAAGCTTCATCTGTTGATTCACTCCCCAAAAGAATACAACAACTAGGGCTGGACCAGGCTGAAGCCTCTAACCAAGAACCAGGAGCTTTATCCAGGTCTCCCACATGGGTGTACGTGCCCAAGCTCTCATGCCATCCTCCTCTGCTTTCCCAGAAGCCTTATCAGGGATCTGGATCATAAGAGGGGTGGATGGGACTCAAACTGGTACCCATAAGGGATCCAGCAGTGTAGGCATCAGCTTAACCCACTATGTGACAACATTAACCTCATAAACTGTATTTCTTAACAAGAATGGATACTAGGCCTTTGAGTGGACTTTTTAACCCCAAGAAATATGTTTTTCTCTTTGTATTTTAAAATGAAAGAAATATCATGGGATACATAGCAATGACTATTCCTGCAGGGCCTTGTAAAGTTACCTAATGCCCTGAGCACTGCAGATTAAGAAATCAACTTTTTCCCCATTAATCTATATCAGCCTTTATTTTGACTTAGGTCAGTCTCAGAAAAGATGGCTGTGTAGTCTAGGATCCTAATTTATTGATGAATAGTCAATGCTTTACAACTATTTATAACAAAAACAGTATTCCCTTATCCTTCATGTTTTCCTTTAGTAGGGTATAAGGTCACAAGATTGTATGAAGCACTAATATGGAACAATGAAGTAGTTGTTTCTACTAATTAATTGTCTTCAGGCACAATAGCTAGAGTGCAGTTGCATTATACAGATTCACATGCTTGTTTGGTTTAGAACATTTGTGGTGTTTGATCTCTCGGATGTCTTAGGAAAATTGAAGGATTGTTTTTCTCTAGACCTGTAAGAACTCAGTTCTATACATGTGAAATGAAAGCATATTGGTAAGGGGACTTTTTCTTTTTTAAGATTTTATTTATTTGAAAATCAGAAATAGAGAAAGAGAAGGAGGGAGGGAGGGAGGGAGGGAGGGAGAGAGAGAGAGAGAGAGAGAAAGAGAAAGAACTCTTCCATCCACTGGTTTACTTCCCAAATGGGTACAATGGCCAAGGTTGGGCCAGGCCAAACCCAGGAACCAGGAGCTGCTTCTATATCTCCCATGTGGATGTAGGGGTCCAAGTACTTTATCCATCTTCTGCTGCTTTCCTAGGTGCATTAGCAGGAAGCTGGATTGGAATTGAAGCCCCTTGGTCCTGAACCAGCACCTATATGGGATGTCAGTACTGCAGATGGAGGCTTAACCTTCTCTGCCACAGTGCCAGTTCCTATGGGACTTTTTAAAATGCCACAAGGCATCCCTTTATAAAATTGTACAGAAATATGTTAAGCAATTAGACATTCAAAAATTGGTTGTAGTACCTAATAGCTGTTGAGCTGCTTCAAAGTAAGGAGAGGTTTCCTGTACATTCCTGTATAAATGTTAGAAAATGTCATTGAATTATTAGTTATTTTGAAATCTACCCTATAAATCAAAAGTTTAATAAGAAACAGTTTTCATCCAACTCATTGGAACGTAAGTTTTCCAGAAAGTTCTCATCCCATGAGTCCCTCTACCAGAGAATACCCAAGTTGAGATATTTCATTGACACAGCTGTGGAGCAGTGGATCTGAACTGGGATAGAGGCAGAGTCTGGTTGACTCCAATTGACCTACTTGAGTGTACATCTGAACGGAGCTTCAGGAGACTCAGAAGCTCAGAAGGTCATATCTGTGGAAGAGGAAATCATTCAAAAGAAAGTGGAGAAATCCATGACTTGACTTTGTGAAAGCTTTGCATTAAAAAAGAAAATCAAGTGTGTATCCAAGATGACTGAGTAATGAGTAGCCTCACTAATGTCGGTCACAGTAACAGTCACAGTAACTGGAACAAAGGAGCCTGTCATTCTCAGGGCAATGAAATTCCTGTGGAGAAGTGGCAGAACACAGACTCCTTGAGGCAGTTAGGGGAGAGAACAGATACACCACTGTCATCAGTGACTGCCACCGGACATCCCTTGCATCTGTGTGACTGACTTCTGGTTGGGAAACACTGTCTTGCTGGGATAAGATAGGAAGAAGATGCTGTGGCTCCCACTGTGAGCAGCCCTAGCCATGGGAGAATTTCACAGTCTCCACTGACTTCAAGTCCAGTCCAGGGATCTGACTGGGATCTGAGTGACTAAGTTGCTCTGAAAAGGGAAGGCACATTGCCCCCTTCCATTTGCACAAGGGAAAAGCAGTGTTAGGAGGGAAATCTATAGCATTAAATGTCCATATTTTTTTAAAAAGGTCTCAAAATGTGTTCTAAGTATGCATCTTAGAGATTTAGAATATCAAGAACAAACCAGACATTAGCAGGAGGCAATAAATAAGAATCAGAGCAGAAATAAATGAAGTTGAAGCAAAAAACAATATTAACTATTAACAGAACAAAAAGGTATGTTTTTTGAGTAGATAAATCTTTAGCCAAACTACCAAAATTACAAAAAAAAAAAAAAAAACCTCAAGTAAATAACATTAGAGGTGAAAAAGTAGATGTTAAAGCTGATACTATTGAAATACAAAGGCTCATAAGAAACTGCTTTGGGGCTGGTGTTGTGACACAGCAAGTTAATGTGTGGCCTGCAATGTTGGCACCCCATGAATAGCAGTATCAATCCTAACTGCTCTACTTCCAATCCAGGTTCTTGCTAACGCACTTGGGGAAGCAGTGGAAGGTGGCCCAGTTTAATGGGCCACTGTCACCCGTATGTGAGACTTGGGTAGAGTTCCTGGCTCCTGGCCTCCACCTGGTCCTGGGTTGACTTTGTGGAACCATTTTTGGAGTGAAGCAGCAGATGGAAGATCTCTCCCTCTATGAGCAACTGTATGCTAACAAATTGGAAAACCTCAAAGAAATGGGTTAATTCCCAGATACAGAAAGCCTAAACAGATCCTTAAGAAGCAATGAAATTGAAAGATTAATCAAAAGTCTGCTATCAAGGAAAAGTTCAAAACCTGATAGATTTACTATTGAATTCTGCAATACATTTAAAGTGAGACTAACTCCAATACTTTTCAAACTATTCCAAAATATTGAACAGGATGTAGTTGCCAAACCCTTTTTGAGATCAGCATCATACTGATTCCAAAACTGAACAGAGACACAACATGAAAAGACTACTACAGACCTATTATCCTTGATGAATATAAATGCAAAAATTCTCGACAACATACTAGCAAAGTGAATCCAACACTACATCAAAAAGATTGTATGTCACAATCAAGTGGAATTTTTCCTAGAAATGAAAGAGTGGTTCAGCATTCATAAGTCAATAAACAAATAATATCAACAGAATGAAGAACAAAAACCATTTAGTCATCACAGCGAAAGCATTTGATAAAATTCAGCATCCTTACATAAAAATGTAAGTTAGCTATAGATGCAACCATACCTAAAAATATTAAAGCTATATATGATAAATCAACTCTCAGTATATCATACTGAATGGGGAGAAGTTGAAAACTTTTCCCATCATATCTGGAACAAGACAAGTTTGAGTACTTTCACTCTTATTCAATATAGTGTTGGAAAAATTAGCAAGAGCAATTAGGAGAAAGAAAGGACATCATAATTAGAAAGGAATAAGTCAAAATATCCGTATTTCCAAATGACTTGTACGTTGGAAAACCTAAACAATCCACCACAAAGCTGTTAGAACTGATCAAACAACTCAGTAAAGTTGAAGATACCCAAAATCAAGATACATAAAACTAGCTTTTTTACATGCCAGTAGTAGAACTCACTGAAAGATAAGTCAAGAAAGAAATCCCACTTACAATAACCAACCTCAAATAGTAGGAGTAAATTTAACCAAAATAATTAATTAACATGAAAATTACAGAATGCTAATGAAAGAAGTTATCAGGGACACAAGAAAATGCAAAGATGGAAGATTTAACATCATTGAAATGTTTATACTCCAGGCGGCACTGGCACACGGGTTCTAGTCCCGGTCAAGGCGCTGGGTTCTGTCCCGGTTGCCCCTCTTCCAGGCCAGCTCTCTGCTGTGGCCTGGGAGTGCAGTGGAGGATGGCCCAGGTGCTTGGGCCCTGCACCCCATGGGAGACCAGGAGAAGCACCTGGCTCCTGCCATCGGATCAGTGCGGTGCGCCGGCCGCAGCGCACCGGCCACGGCAGCCATTGGAGGGTGAACCAACGGCAAAAGGAAGACCTTTCTCTCTGTCTCTCTCACTGTCCACTCTGCCTGTCAAAAAAAAAAAAAAAAAAAGGAATGGTTATACTGCCTAAAGCAAGCTACAGATTTGATTTGGGGAATTTTACCAAATCTACATTGGATTTAATTCTGTCATTGGCATTTATGATGTAGTTTGAACATTTTTACAAATAATTTGCTTTTTATTTTTATTTCAAGGATGAGTTCCTATCAATGGGTATAATTTCTCCAGTACAAAGATAATTGTAGCTGTCTGTGGATTGTTAATTTGGCATTGGATTCCTGTTTTCAGGGACATGAAAGCTGGCAGAGTTCATGATTCACAGTTGTGAGAGCAAAGGAGAGAGTTGTAGGTGCTGAGGTCAGGAGGAAGCTAGAAGCAATATTTGCATAGGGCCTAAGAAGCTATTGGAAATTACTTTTTTAAAAAATTAGAAATCTGTTCAAAGGATTTGAGCGAAGAATTGACTGTGTGAGGAATTCTGATGTTACTAAAAAGAGGAAAATAGTTCAACACTGTAGAATTATACCAGCTCTAGATACTAGATACGCATTGCTCTGTGATACTTCAGTAGGTTGTTAAGTGTTGCAGATTTATCAGGACAGAGATAGAGAACTGAGTGTTGGCTAATACATTACTGATTGTGCAGGGAGATAACACCTTGTGTCTTACCTGATTTCAATAATTAATAAAAATGTGTACAATTGAGGAAAAGAAGGTGAAGTGATATATGTGGTGATATTACCTAAAGTACAGATGCTGCTTGTCATTTGATATGGTGATTCCCTGGTAATCTCATTGCTAAATTGAAAATGCAAGTCAATAAAGTGTGTAACACACTGGACTTCCTCAATATGCTAGCTAAGTGGCACGTTACACTCTAGAGTGTTCTTCATTTGTCCTTGTGTTTGTGTGGTTGACGGGGAGCTACAAATCACTACTGCTGGCTAGCATCCTGAGAGAAAATAGTGTGGCATATTGCTAGTTCAGGAAAAGGTCAGAATTCAAAGTATGTGTCCTATGGGAATGTTTATCACTTAATTGCCTTCCTAAAAAAATTGAAAAATTGTAAGTGAAGCCATCACAAAAATCAGACCAGTTGTATGTATCTTTGAATGAAACATAACCATTATTTAACAATAAAGTGACTTATAACATGGTAACATGCATATCTTATCAGGTAGATATGAAACACCTGCAGCAGCAACAGGATTACATTGAGAAAAGGCAATGTAAATCAGAGGCATCGCTGAGAGATATGGCACAGTTTTACCTCAAGTTAAACAGCAAGATGCAGGATATAATGAACAAGTTAGATGAAATCGTCAGAAAAGTATGTATGATATCTAGCATGTCAATAAGAATTCTAGAGCTTAGAGTTTCCAGATACAAATATCATAAGACCCTGCTTTATTTGAATATGAAAATCTTGGCACAATTTTATCATTATGCACTTACTTCTTAAACTCTGACATCCACTATTTATTGTTATATTCTTTATTAAAATAATACTGTTAAAAACTTGAGGAATATATATCATTTTTCACAGAAAATGCACATTTTTCTCAATATTTTCAGTGATATCAATTGTCATGATAAAACAAGGCAGATTGAATCAGAGGATAAAATTTAGCAGAATTCTCAAAAAATACATTTCTTGTTTCACTTATGTGAATGGATACAAAACCTATGTTTATTGATCCTGTGTATTTCAGAATAAATTTTCAAAATACTTTATACTATGCTAAAATGCACATTTTAAAATATTTTACAGTCTAATTGAAAACCCTGTTTATCATTCACATATATGTTATTTATACACATTATAAGTGTGTATAATATATGTTATCTATACACATAATAAATGTCCATCTTTATGCATGGAATATTCATATCATGTGTAGTCTGTACTTCCAAAATTTAAAATTAAGAAAATTATTAATATCCTGCCGTTGGAGTTTTAAAAACTGATTTATTGTGATATAGTGGTGCTTCACAAACTTCTGGGGATATGTGCAGCATGTATAAGGTATGAATTGAATTCACACATTTTACCTTGAAACTGACATCTCTTAAGCCTACTTTTTGCACAAATGTTTTTATGACTGCTCATGTATTTCACCTATGTAGACTTCAACCATTCAGATTAGTAAAATTCAATATCCATAATAGGTTCCCAAAGTGGGATAATCATCACCATAATCAGTTTTCAAATATTTCAGTCACCATAAAGTAAAACTCTGTGTCACTTATGCATCACTCCTTCAGTCCTTTTTTCTTCCTTTTTCCTACAAAAAGGAAGTGTTTTTTCTCCAGATTTGCCTGCTATGAACGTTTCATATACATAGAGTCCTACAGTATGTGGCCCTTTATGACTGGCTTTTTTCACTTAGTATACTAATTTCAGGATCCATCCATGGCATAACATTTATCAATACTTCTTTTTATTATTAAATAACATTTTATTATCTAACAGAGTATAGGTCTGCTGTACAAATTGTCTGCTCATCAATGCATGGACATGTAGAATGTTCCCACTGCATGCTGCCATGGACATTCATTTCCAAGTTATTGTATGGACACATTCAATTATTTCATTGGATTTAATCCAACTTGGAGTTAATTGGGCCTGTTTTCTCATTTCTCCACCATTCTTCATGCTATCCTGTCTTTGTTTCTGTTCACCTAAACATATTTATCCAGACCCAGCCCCAAATTTCCCTTTTGTCAATAAGCTTTTCCTTCTGTCACATTTTGACCTTACACTTTTCAATATTTGTCATCTAGTTTTTATGGAACAGCATAGACCTTACTTTTAAACTGCTTTTATTTTTATTCATGGGAAATAATCTTGTCTGAATATAAATTTTCCTCAGGGGATTTTATCTGACATGGATGCCACCTATCTTTGTGTTGATTGAAAATATTTTAGCTTATCAATTGTTAGACTAAAAGTATAAACAATTTATATCATTTCAGAAATTTATTCTTTTTGAACATGTATTTATTTATTTGAAAGGAAAATTCAGATAGAGGGAGAAGCTGAAAGAAAAAGAGATTTTCTCCAACTGTTGTTTTAATCACCAACTTTCCACATTTGTTGGGGCTGGCCAGGTCAAAGCAAGGAGCATGGAACTCTATGCAGGTCTCTACGTGGGTGGCATAGGCCTAAACACTTGGGCCGTCCTCTGCTGTTTTCCCTGTCAATTAGCAGTGAGCTGGGTCAGAAGAGGACCAGCGAGGGCTGGAATGCCAGCATCACAGAGGCAGCTTAGCCCACTGTGCCACAATGCTGACCTGCTGAATTTTCTTCTTTGAGGCATTGACATAAGCATCATGAATAAAGCTTTAAGGTGAAGCTTTTAAAGTTTTTAAAGTTGTCCTTTAAGCAACAAATTATAAAATCAAAACACTTGATTGCTGTAGAGGAGAACTTATCTATCAAAAACTCAGTCTATACTCAGTAAGAAAAAAAAAAAACTATTTTCTTTCATGAACTAGCCAGAACTGGGATTTATTGTTTTATAGCTCTTTTTTCTGCTGGCTACAGATTCACTAATAGGCCCAAATGTGTACTGTTAGGCTATCTACAGAGTGCTTGTAGGGCAGCATAAGAATGAATTGATTTTGGAAACTTCATTTAGCCACTGATTCCAATATTTTCAGGTCTGTTCTTTGAGTCTGTGTCTTACAGTCTGCAAGGTATGTGCTACTCAATCTAGGAATCCTGTTTCCATTATCATTACCCAGGAAGTAGTGCAGAGAGTAAGTGATCAGTAAATTATAAGATGAAAAAACACTGGTGGCTATTGAAATCACTGACAATTTTATGCAGTACTGGGGAAGTAGTCTGGCCGCCTTCTTCCCCATTGGGAAAATAGCAGAAGATGGCCCAAGTGCTTTTAAATTGTGAAATCAAGGGTTAAGTGTAATTTGTATAAAAGACCACTTTCATTTTCATGCCACCTTTTTGAAATGTCAAAAATTTTTCAAAATATGAAATGAGTAAGAACAATTCTTGACCAGATCATATTATTTTAGTTATTGGACCGAGTGATGTCTGTTGGCAAGTCAGCTTTGCAGTTACAGCATGAATGTTGCCATGAACAATATGCAAATGAAGAAGTGTTGTGATTTCCAATAAAATTTTAATGGCAAACCAGGTAGTGAGCAGTTTGTACCAGGTGCTGGTAATTTTTTTAATCCTTTGTTTCAGTTCCAAGTATCAGAAAATCTACACCAAGGAGTGGTAGAAAATGTAAAGAAGACACAAGATTATCTTGAACACTACATTTCAAGGTACTATGCAAACTAGCTTGAGTCCTTATAAAGCACAGTAGCCATGGACAACAAGAAACAGGCCATACTTTTCAAATTTTAAGAATTTACACAATATTGCCTTCTGATGCTTAGTCAGAAATTATGTGTATGCTTAGATTGATGGGTGAAAATATTTTCCATGTACATTGTAGGCTTCAATCTGAAATTTTGGAAATGAAAGATATCGTCAAACTGCATGCTGGCAGTATTGAAGAGCTGCAGAAAAATCTGATAAGACCAAGTTCAGTAAGTCAGTCTCTTAACCTCTGTCACACTGAGAAGGTGTTTCTGTATCTTTGCTAGGAGATTGGGAAAATATTTTGCCTAATAAGACAAGTCTCATTGATAAGTATATTTTCTGTATTTATACAGATACTATTTGCTACTACCAATGCAAATCTGCTAACCCTTGTAGAAGGAATGGACTGAACTCATAAAATTGTTTAAGTAGTCAGATTACATTTTAAAATTCTAATTGTGTTACATTAGAAAATAATATTTTGTTTACAGTGGATCTTTTATATCCTTTGATCAGTTGATGGACATTTCCATGATTTCTACCTTTGGTCTACTGTGAGTAGTGTTGCGATGGTCATGGTTGTAGAAATGTCACATGGAGTCCCTAGTAATATTTACAGTACCTTTTGAAGTGTGAATAAAGTCAAGTGATGACATGGTATGGAATTCTGAATCTCTGGTTAAAATCTAAACTCTTCATTGGGATTTAATAATAAATTTATTTGAGAGTGTAAGTTGTATTCCTTATCCAGAATGGATACATGCTTTTTCACCACAAGGAATGTTACATCTTTGGGTTCTTAAAAGCAAATAGGTGTCATTGGTTATCTAGAAATGACTACTCTGGCGTTATGGCCTTACAGAGTTTCATAATGCTCTGAACACTGCAGGTTCAGAAACGAACTTTTACCTGTTAGTCTACGTTCATCAGCCTTTATAAGGACTTAGTTCAGTCTCTTAAAAGATAGATGTGTAATCCAGGATTCCAACTGATGGATAGTGAATACCATATAAAAATTTATCAAGTAAAACAGGATTACCCTGTCTTTCATGTCCTTCTTCATAAAAATTACTCTCACAAGATTACATGTAAACACTTATATGGAAGAATGAGATTGTGGATTTTACCAATTAGTTTCTTTAAGTGACAATAGAGTGCTGTTGCATTGTGCAGGTATTTATATCTACAGAACAAGAACATTTGTGTTGACCATTTTTATGAATTAGGAAACATTGAAACATTCTTTTACTCTAGACTTCCAGTAAATTAGTTCAAACTATGTCCATGACAGGGTGTTGATGATGGATTTTTGTGGATAAGAATGCCAGATGTCCCTTTACCTTAATTGTCATACAGAAATATGAGAAGGAATTCAACGTTCAAAACTTTGTTGCAGTGCCAAATAGCTATGGAGTTTGTTAAAGATGAAGGATTTCTTATAAATTCTTGGAGGAATTAGTTAGGAATATGTCATAGAATTATTTGTCAGTTGGAAATCTTGGTATCAAATGTTTAATAAGAGTTGGTTCTACCCACTCAATCAGTAGCCACTAAAGTTTTCCAGAATGCTCTCATTAAATGATTTTTCTAACCAGAGAATTAGGAATGTGTTACTTCGACTCTTTGTATTTCTAAAAGGACATATCGAGAAATGACTACTCCAGCACTGTCTTACATAGTGACAGAGCATTCTAAGCACTGCTGGTTCAGAAACAGACTTTTCTCTGGTAGTCTGTGTTCATCAATATGTATAAAAACTTAGTTCAGTTTTACAAAATATTGAAATATGATCCATGGATTCCAATTTATAGGTGGATAATGAATACTGTATAACTATGTACAAGAGAAACAGGGTTATCATTCATGTCTTTATGTCATAAAACTTGTGATCACAAGACTGCATGTAAACACTGATAACTGAGCAATGAGGTCACTGATTTTACTAATTAGTTTCCTTAAGTGACGATGAATAGATGGCAGTTAAATTATACAGATCCTGTTATCTGCAGATGAAGAACATTTATATTGACTGCTCATGTTCACAAATTAGGAAACACTGAAAGATTATTTTTTTCTAGATCTATAAAAATTAGTTCAAAATAGATGACATGACAGTATGTTGATAATGGGTCTTTTGTAGATAAGAATGCCAAGAGATGTCTACTTTATTACCATACAAAAATATGTTAAGGAGTTCAACATTCAAAGTTAGATGCAGTACCCAATAAGTTGAGTTTGTTCAAATAATGAAAACATTCTTCTAAATTCTTGGAAAAATTAGTAATTTATCATGGAAAAAAAGAAATATTATCATTTTAAAATTTATTCCAGGAATCAACTGTTTAATAAGTTTCTTACCCACTCAATCAGTGGCCCCTAAAGTTTTCCAGAATGTTCTCATTTCATGTATTCTCTACCAGAGAGTTAGGATATTATTTCATGGACACCATTTTGTAGTAAAAAGTATGAATTGGGAACTATTCATAGCTCTGCATGACTCCAATTGATATAGTTGAATGTACATCTGACAGAACTTCAGAAGACTGCCTTAGGATCATAGCTGTATGCAAGAGGGAAGTACTCAAAAGAAAGCAGAGACAGACTATAATCTGAAAGTTTTGCAATAGAAAAGAAAAGCAAAATGTTTATGCTGGCCAAATTCATAACACTGAGAGTGGTCCCAAATCAGAAAATAACACTATCCTCAAAGACATGCACGTAAGAATCAGCATAGAATATAGAGGATTAGCTGTCTACAATAGTGATCCACATTAAAGAAGTATTTATGAGCATGTATAAGAATAGGGAGGGAGCACACTGATAGTCTGGGAAAAGATAGTTTAATAAAAGTGGAGATACTGTAGTTTCATGGAAGAGTTAGGGAAAAAACTGCAAAGGAAACTCTTCTGGAACTAGTGGGACATGGTGGACCTATGTGGAGGGCACGGGCACCCACAGCTCGGGACCCCAGCCACTGAGTCTAGGCAACAGCGCTGGAAAGGGAGGTGAGGCAAAACCTCAGTAGCCAGAGACAGGCAGGAAAGCAGCAGGAAGAGCCTAGAGGGAACGAGGCTTGAAGCCCCATGGGGGAAAGTTCACCAGGCTAACTAGAGGAGAGAAAAAAAAAATAAAAGGGACTGGTATGGACACGATTCTTTCTCTCCACTGACCTTACAAAGGTGAGCAAGTCAAAGAGCAGGCGCCATTTTGGATATACATAAAAGCTGCGCCACCTCAGGGCTGCGCCCGCCCTCAGCCAGACAAAAAACTTGATTCTGGTGGGGAGAAATAACAGGAAGTTAAGACCTAGTGAATGTGTGGAGCTTATGAACTGGCACTGTGAAAAAAAAAACTGAGGGTATGTGAGAAAACAGAATGCCTGAGATGTGAGTACTCAGTGGGAGACGCCACAAACTCAGTAACCTTGGCAACCCGGTGGGAGATTGCAAGGGAATCTGAGCTTACACTGAGGACTGCACAGATCCTTTGTGTGGTCCTTGGGACAGAGCACATGAATATTATACCCACAGGGGCTAGTGCTCACTGATTGCCTTCAAAAATAGCTCAGCTGTGCATAATTACTTCCCTTCTGAATAAGAGAGAGAGAGAGAGAGAAGATTTACCACACCAAACCTGGGTGTGTCCACCTTTGGCACACCCTTAAACCTTAAGAACTGAACAGAGCTCTCTGGCCACACCCATCACAAGCCTCTAAAGATCCACCAAAAGCAGACAGTCCACTTAATCTAGAGTCATAGTATAATGAGAAAAGCCACCACAGGGATGGGAGAGGGAGCGGGAGATGGGATGGTTGCGGGTGGAAGGGTGATTATGGGGTGGGGGGAAGCCGCTATAATCTGTAATTTCTTTTACACTGCCATAAATGTTGAATAGTGATACATGTATTGTTGTGCCTGAGCGAGTGCTGACAGAGGAGCGCCACACACTGAAAAAGTTTTTAAAGTCCTTTATTGCCGGCGGCCGAGAGTGGGTTCATACCCCAAAGAACTCTCAACCCCGAGGCCCAAAGCTACAGGGTTTATAAAGGCAAAAACTGCAAAATCGGGAGGGGGAATACATGGTTGCTAAGATCAAAAGAGAGTACATAGTTACTGGGGTCAAGATAACCTAAGACCTAAGTGAAATTAATATCCATTATAATCTTGACAATACCAGTTACAATCTTAACAATTATCAATTATGATCTTGACATTAATCCAATTATTAGTTTTAATTATATGTAAGACATAGACAAATCACATCTTTATCATTAACCCAGGTGCAACCTTTCTACTTTCAGGCTTGAGCAATCATGCTAGGGGGTTTCTGTGCTCTGCCAAGGGTGATGTAGTGCACTGACTGCTATTGTCCGACTATTTGAGATCATAGTTTCAGACCAGAGTTTCATGGGGGGGGGTGCTTTCCCAGAATGCAGTCTCAAGGGACTCCAAAATGGAGTCCCTAGTGTCAAGGTGCTACTTCAGTATGATTCTGAATTTCAACTATAATCCTAACTCTTCAGTGAGTACTTGAGGATGAATTATGTTGATACTATGAATTTTATTCCTAATCAAGAATGGATACGAAATTATTGTGGGAGCTTTATTTTCACCATGGAATATACTTCCTCTGGATTTTTAAAAGAAATAGTTGTAAGAGAAAAGATAAAAATGACTACTATGTGGCCAGCTCAGTAGGCTAATCCTCCACCTGTGGCGCCAACACACCAGATTCTAGTCCCCGTCGGGGTGCCAGATTCTGTCCCGGTTGTCCTTCTTCCAAGCCAGCTCTCTGCTGTGGCCCTGGAGTGCAGTGGAGGATGGCCCAAGTGCTTGGGCCCTGTACCCGCATGGGAGACCAGGATAAGCACCTGGCTCCTGCCATCAGATCAGCCTGGTGCACCGGCCGCAGTGACCGGCTGCGATGGCCATTGGAGGGTGAACCAGTGGCAAAGGAAGACCTTTCTATCTTATCTCTCTCACTGTGCACTCTGCCTGTCAAAAAAAAAATTAAAAATATATGGCTTTGCAGAGTGACATAGTGCTACCACGACAGCATGTATAAAAACAAGCTTTTCCCCTACTGTGATCATCAACCTTTGCACTGGCTTACTTTATTCAGTTCATATCAGTGTACAATGGCTATTAAGCTTGTTCATAATTCTTGAGGTATTTTCTGTAAATTCTTGTAGCAATGACTTAGGAATATGGCATAGAATTATTAGTCACTTTCAAGGGTACCCTCTCTGTCAAAAGTATAATAATCAATGGCATTTGACCAACTCAATAGCAACTAATTTTCCAGAAGGTTCTCATCTCACGAATGGAGATTCTCATCTACCAGAGAGTAATTGGGTTGATATATTTTATGGACACTAACTTGGAAGAGAAGAATTTGGATTGGGAAATAGAGATATCTGACTCATGCCTCCAAATAATATAGTTAGGTTTATGTCTGAAGAGAATCTCAACAGACTGCTAAAGTTGTATCTATGGCAGAGGGGATTCCAACGAAAATGGAAGTGACCCATAATTTGATGCCTGTGAAAAGTCTTGCATTAGAAAAGAATTTCAACATGAAGTATGCTGGTCAACATCCTAACATATCTAGTATCAATATTAGAAACCAACACTAGGATCAAAGACACATCCTTTAGAATCATTAGCAAATGTACTAGACTAGTAGTCTGCAAAGGTAATCCCCATCAGGTAACGGTTTATGTGGGTATAGTTGAAGATTTAACCTATGAGAAATGAAAGAGAAGTAAGAAATGGCCTGAGCGATGAAGTGAGGCCTAGACACTCATAGAAAACTGGCACAAACACCAGTGCTAAAGATAGCGGTTGCTATTTTGAAAATAAAAAATGAAACAAAGACTTAAACATGTCAGATGCCTTCAGACTAGAGGGTGGTTGCAGCTTAAAGGACCTAGGGAGGAGTAAGGATGGAAACCAAAAGGACTCCAAAGAGACTGTGAGTGGAAGCCTGAGGGCCCTTGAAGACATTTACAGGGAAGAGTATAGATTAAGCAACTTCAGGTGAAGCATTGAGACTTAAGGAACTTTTGAGACAGACTTAGAAATGGAATACGAAGAGTGGTTGAGTAGAATCCAGCAGTCACTGCATTTAGAAGTGAAGTGGGCTTATAGGAGCCAAGAGAAAGTTCTAATCACTAATTGCTACTGCTGCTGTGGATGAAAGCAGTGGAAGCACTAAACAAAGCATGCTGGATATGTCTCAAAAATATTGCATTGAATTGTACCCTTGGAAAACATATTTAGGGCCAGGGAGTTGCACAGTCATCTGTGTGACCCCACAATTATCTGTGTATCACATAGGACAGTACAGAAAAAAAAACGCACAAGAATCAAATATGGTAAATGTTTGTATTTTATAGAAAAGGTAAACTTTGTTTAAAGTTAGGTCATTAATGTCAAAGGAAAAAAATGAAACTTCTAAACACGGTTAAGAAATGATCTTGTTTATCTCATCCTGAAATCAGGTGAAGATGAAATATGTAGTAAGAATCAAATGTGAATTTTTCCAAAAATCCTATTAGTAGCATTTGATTTAATTAAACCTTGAATATCTTGAATATTCAAGTTTTTGGACAAACATTCCTTGCATATTCTGTAACTCTTAAGATCCTTAAGGTGATGTTGAGGTACCACCTTAAGATTTTATGAGGCCTTGACAATATGTGATGGTCTCAGTCTTTGTGTCATCTTTAGACCACATTTGCCTGGTAGCACTCTGCATTTTATTTTTTCCCAGAAACCACTCATGTAGAATCACGCAGAGATTTGGTATGTGGGGATGTCGTAATTCAGATAGATACTTGAGCCCAGTAAGTTGTAGTTCCTTTATATTTGTTAGTCATCTTTTAGCTTTGCCTCTGAAATCAATTTTACTGTCAGCTGTTGTGTAACAAGAGGCCCCTTTCTTCTAGGCTTTGGAATCATTTTCTCTTTGAAGTCTTCCCTGTAAATGTCTTCAAGGGCCCTCAGGCTTCCACTCACAGTCTCTTTGGAGTCCTTTTGGTTTCCATCCTTACTCCTCCCTAGGTCCTTTAAGCTGCAACCACCCTCTAGTCTGAAGGCATCTGACATGTTTAAGTCTTTGTTTCATTTTTTATTTTCAAAATAGCAACCTGTGGGGAGCAACTCAGACTAGACTGTTACTCAAATTAAGACTTATTCCATGCATCTGCTCTCCCACAATATGGCGCTGGGAGAGGAGGAAACAGCTTCTACACAGCTGCCTCCAGTTCAACCAATAAACAGCAGGACCTGCTCCTGATTGGAGGAGAGCAGCATACTCGGCGTGTGGGTAGCAGAGTTGGGATTGATGGAAGAGGACTATAAAGGAGGAGAGAGACGGCATGCAGGAGGAACACCTGAGGAACATCTGAGCAGCCCCCGAGAGAGCCGGCCGGTGGTGTGCCGCTCCCCCACGGAAGTGGGGAAAGTGGCATGGGGAACCGCCCTTCCATGGAGGTGGAAGGGACGGTAGCCAACCCGGGAAGAACCAGCAGCAAACCCGGGGAGGGCCGAGCAGACAAAAGAACAGCGCAGGGTCCTATGTCGTTCCTCCACGAAGAGGGGGAGCGACATAATGGTGCTGTGACTCGGATAGGAAGCCTAGGCAGGGTTCAGTGTCGCTCCTCCGTGAAGAGGGGGAGCGACAGCAACCCCTATCTTTAGCATTGGTGTTTGTGCCAGTTTTCTATGAGTGTCTAGCAACCTACCTGAGAATCTCTTTGGGAAAGTTGTTTGGCCTAGACGTTAAGATGCTCACATCTCGTATAGCAGAATCTTAGTTTGATTTCTGGCTTTGGCATCCGAGGCCAGCATTCTGCCACTACAGGCCCTGGGAGGCACAGAAGGTGTTTCAAGGTACAGCTCCATGCCACCTACGTGGGACCACTGTAATGAGTTCCGAGTTCCACTCTCCAGGCCTGGCATTGGGAGATTTGGCTAGTGGATGTAGAAGCTACCTTCTGCCACAGACTTTCTGTCCCTCTGCCATAAAAAAGATCACTTATGGGGCTGGTACTGTGGTGCAGTGGGTTAAAGCCCAAAACTGCAGCACCAGCATTCTATATGGGTGCCGGTTTGAGCCCGGGCTACTCTGCTTCCAATCCAGCTCTCTGTTAATGCTCTTTGGGAAATAGCAGAGGACAGTCCAAGGCTGTGGGTCCCTGCATCCATGTGGGAAACCTGGAAGAAGCTCCTGGCTCCTGGCTTCAGATTGACTCAGCTCCAGCTATTGCAGCCATCTGGAGAGTGAACTAGTGGATGGAAGACCTGTCTCTATATATCTCTATCTCTCTGTGTAACTCTGTTTTCCAAATAGATAAAATAAATTTAAAAAATGATTTACTCTCTCAATATATTCTTCTTTCAGAATCTACAATTTAAGCAAGGCATAAACGTCACTCAACTGGGGATGATTTGAAGCTGGGGCTACAACCATCCAAAAGTTGTTTGTCCACCTAATTGCATTGAACTGGGCTTTTGGCTGCGCATTTAACTGCATTTAACTTTGGAAGTCTATGTGATGATGTGCCTTGTTGCTTGGGGTCCTTTATAAATTTTACCAGAAAAATAAAAATGGAAGCTGAATCACATTTTCTGACCTAGCAAAACTCACTCAGCATCAGTGAAATAGTCTAAGTACTAGCAACCGATTATTATGGTCTGCTCATATTCAGGAGAGGGAACTTCATGGAAGAAATGCCAAAGTATTACAGACATGCTACTATAAATCTGAAACATTACTCACTTAGTAAAAGTAATTTGATAATGGCTTTATCTAAAAGAAATTCATTATTCCCAACTCAGTAGCGTTGAAGTCCTATCGAGTTTTTGTTGTTGCTGCTCTGTATGCTCTATTTTGTAAAAAGCTTCTAAAGATGATAAAACAGTATTAGTAAGTCATATTCATTCCCAAAACTATACACATCATGCTCCTAGTGTTTTATGCTATGAGATGTAATTGTCTCAATCCCAAGGAAAAAGTGCAATTTGGAAGATGTACAGTGTTCAATTTTAAGTTGTTAATTTGATTCTAATTTTCTTGTATAATGATATTACATTAGTAGCAACACACAACTGATTCAGTTTTAGTTATAATTGTTTACTTCAGGGGATATGGAAGTTAAATATTTTAATCTTCTTTTTCATATCTTTAAAATATTCCCTGTGTCACTTCGTCAAAATTGGAGGAAATAAATATACAGATAGAAATGATTTGAAAATGTATATTTTAAATTTCCTTTAGTTGCAGACATCGGAACACACCAGAAAGAAAGCTGCTCAGGAAGAATCTGACAAAGAACTGGAGAAACCCAGGCAACTCCACGTACAAGTGGGAGAAACCTTAACCTGCAACCTGAATAAGTAAGTCAAGTCCCAGAATCACAGAAAATAACTGATGTTCATTAATTTGACTCTGAGGCATAGTTTTTAGTGAGACAGTTTCCTGAAATTAGTATGAAGTGAACCTAACTAGACAAAATAATTCTACAAATTAAGGAATAATTTTGAAAAATAAATGCTCTTATTTTTTAGCACAGAAAAATGTACATAAAAGTTAGGTGCATGTGTTTGGGGGAACATGACAACTTAAACCCACAGGGCTGCCTACTGCTACTACTCCCACTACCGCTACTGCTGCTACTTGTGGTGCTTCTGTAAGTCTTGACACAACCTGGCACTTGTTCAGTTATCTTCCCTTGACTGTGATCATTGGTAATACTTCAGGAGGGTGTCTTGAAACCAACTCTTCTTTGCAGTTTTCCTCCTCTTCTTGAGAAAGAAAGACGAATGTGGAAAGGAGGGGAAGTATAACTCACAGGCTGGTTAGCATTCTACCTCGGGCATTCTGGGGGACTATGTCTGTAGAAGACAGAAAGGGCAAGGCCCACCCCCTCTGATGCCTTCCAAACAGTGTTAGGAATGGATTGCCTCTGGAGTGGCTTTAGTTCCTTTGGTAACCAACAACTTTGTCATTCTCTCCTAGAATTTGGTGCTCTGAAATGTCTCAATGTGGGAAAAGCTTATTTTTCCCTCTAGGAAGTTGGTTAAATGTGTGAAATGCACAGGGTTATTGATAGCAAGTGCTTGAAAATGCCTTTAGGAGATGGTGTTTTAAATCTAAACTGATTTACTCAACAGAAATATGTCTCTTCTTTTGCAATGAAAATGGGTGCGACTGGAAAACATTAAGCTTAGTGAAATAAGCCAGTCCCAAAAAGATAAATATCCTGCTTATCTCACATGTGGTAATTTATATAGAATTCCAAAAAAAAAAAAAAAAGCATAGAGAAGAAGTGAACATCTTGTCATTCAGTTGTTTTTAACTCTTTCTTTATCTTCCTGTGAAACTGTGGTCTCTCTACTTTTTACTTGTTAAATACTATGGTTTCTGGTGAATTAAGCCTGTTATTCTAGAGTGGATTAAATTATGTTTTTGTGGGGGACAGCACTGTGGTGCAGCGGCTTAAACCCAGGGCTGCAGGGCTGGCATCCTATATGGGTGCCGATTCGAGCCCCAGCTGCTCCACTTCCAATTCAGCTCCCTGCTATTGCTCCTGGGAAAGCAGCGGAGGAAGGCCCAAGTCCTTGAGCCCCTACACCCACGTGGAAGACATGGAGGAAGCTTCTGGCTCCTGGCTTTAGATCGGCCCAGCTCTCTCCATTGGGGTTATTTGGGTAATGAACCAGCGGATGGAAGACCTCCCTCTCTCTGTGTCTCTACCACTCTCTGTAATTCTTTGAAATAAATAAAATGAATCTTTTGAAAAACTAAAATTTTGTTTTTGCTAAAAGTGTAAAAAAGTAATGAAGAGAGGAGATGGTTTGTGGGAGAGCAGGAAGGAGTGAAATACATTTATCTCCTTAGAATTTTGCTTATGAAATACATGACATCTGTTCTCTTTACATTAATAAAAAAGGATAAAATATTGTTATAAAATTATAAAATGTTTATATAATTATAAAATTATAAAATATTCAGCATGCACAATATGATGCTTTCACATATTTGTATATAGTTAAATGGTCATTATAAGCAAGAAAATCATCCTGTATCTTAGCTAACACAGCTACCATTTAAATATGAGTATATCAAGTGGCATCAAGGAACTTTAAGTAGAACCTCCCAGAAAGGAGCATTACCTGATTAGCTATATATCATTAATAACCATTTCTCTCCCTCTGCCTTTGTGTGAACCAGTTGTTTACAACCCACTAGAAATATGTTTTGTTAATTTTGAGCAATTTGAAAACATCGGTTGCATACAGTAGGTATGCCCTGACACATTTTTAGTGTTAAAATACTTTTATTAAATGGGACAGTCCATTTATGCTTACAGCCTTTTTAAAGATAAACCATTAGTAAGTGGAAAAAATGACATACTAAGCATTTGTCTTGCAATTTTCACAGGGCGCATGAGGAATTAACAGTGGTCAGAACTGAATTTCTTCAGGAGACAGAGAGGAATGAACCTTTACCCAGCACTAGTACCATGAGGCCTGCTGTACCGTCATCCAGTGTTGGGAATGTTCGTGGTGATTTAATGTGCAAAGGAAACCATGTCCCACAAAGCAAGTTAAGAATTCCTACCTCACAGCTACAGCTTTCACATAACTGCACACTGGACTGCTCGTACATGGTTAGATATGTTGTCTTTTTTCCTTTGGGTTTTAGATTGATGATATAATCATTTTTGATTTGGCGAAATACTGATTATGACTGAGTGATAAATGCTAATTTTCACAATTGTCTTCATCAGATAGAAAGGAAATAAGTGTATGACTTTTCACTTCATAGAATAAATGGAACCAAATGAGCACATTTTAAATTTCTTAAAAGCTGCATTTATGTTAGCTTTTAGAAACTGAATATCTTTCCCTATAACTAAAGGTATAGTTTGGAATACGTTGGCTTATTTTCCAACTGAATTTGCACTGACTGTGGTTCAAGGCATTTGTTAATGTTTTGTTGCAACATCCAGGTTTTTTTGTTTATTCTTTTTTTAACTTTTATTTAATAAATATAAATTTCCAAAGTACAGCTTATGGATTACAATGTCTTTTTCCCCCTCATAACTTCCCTCCCACCCACTACCCTTCCATCTCCTGCTCCCTCTCCCCTTCCATTCACATCAAGATTCATTTTCAATTCTCTTTATACACAGAACATCAATTTAGTATATATTAAGTAAAGATTTCAACACTTTGCACCCACACAGAAACAAAAAGTGTAAAGTACTGTTTGAGTACTAGTTACAGCATTAATTCACATTGAACAACACATTAAGGACAGAGATTCTACATGAGGAGTAAGTGCACAGTGACTCTTGTTGTTGACTTAACAAATTGACACTCTTGTTTATGGCATCAGTAATCACCCTAGGCTTTGTCATGAGTTGCCAAAGCTATGGAAGCATTTTGAGTTTGACGACTCCGATCTTATTTAGACAAGGTCATAGTCAAAGTGGAAGTTCTCTCCTCCCTTCAGAGAAAGGTACCTCCTTCTTTGATGGCCCATTCTTTCCAGTGGGATCTCACTCGCAGAGATCTTTCTTTCTTTTTTTTTTTTTTTTTTTTTTTGCCAGAGTGTCTTGGGTTTCCATGCCTAAAATACTCTCATGGGCTCTTCAGCCAGATCCAAATGCCTTAAGGGCTGATTCTGAGGCCAGAGTGCTGTTTAGGACATCTGCCATTCTGTGAGTCTGCTGTGTATCCTGCTTCCCATGTTGAATTGTTCTCTCCCTTCTTAATTCTATCAGTTAATATTAGCAGACACTAGTCTTCTTTATGTGATCTTTTTGACTCTTAGACCTATCATTCAATTTTTCTACCTCTTGAATTAGAAATGTGATCCAAACATTTCATCACAAATGGATGCTTTTTAAAGAAATCCAGTATAAGTGCTTTTTTGTGAAGTATGTAAACCTGTAATAATAAAAAGATTAACTTTTTAAGTTTTTTGCAGTTTCTTCCATTAAAAAGGAAAATCCTCATTTGCTAATAATGCATTGCCATGCTAATGCTTGTAAAATATTTCTATAGCTGAGAAATGGCTTATCAGTTTTGTGACTTAAATCAAGATTTTGTTTCCATTTTAGAAATGAAATTATAGTATTTCTATCTTGTTATTGCTTGAATGATTGATAATGTATATGGCAATGAATCATATCTTGAAATAACAATTACCACCAAACTGAATTGACTATTTTCTTCCCACCAAGAATTCTGTACAAAGCTTCACAGTCCCATCTCAAATGAAATGAATTATTTTTATGTTGCTAGGCTTGATTCCAATGAAAAAGATGGTTAAATTATACACTTCTCCTATTAAAGGGGCATGCTCTTGGTCCTCTTTTTCTTACACCCTTGCCAATGATTTAAAGGCAAGCAGCACATCATTTTTTTAGAAAAAAAATTATTTAACAAATGTAAATTTTGAAACTACAACTTTTGGATTATAGCAGTTTTCCCCCCCATAACCACCCTCCCACCTGCAAACCATCCCATCTCCTACTCCCTCTCCCATCCCATTCTTCATTAAGATTCATTTTTAATTATCTTTATATACAGAAGATCAACTTAGTATAAGTAAAGATTTCAACAGATTCACCCACACAGATGCACAAAGAATAAAGAACTGTTTGAAGAATATTTTTACCATTAATTCTCATAGTATAACACATTAAAGACAGGGATGCTACATAAGTAAGTGCACAGTGACTCCTGTGTATCAGGAGTATATCAGGAGACAGAAGACCTCTCTGTCTCTCTAAGTCTTTTAAATAAGTCTTTTAAAGTTTTTAAGTCTTTTAAATAAAAAATGTTAAAAAATTTGTATCCTAGGTTTCACCGGATGATGCAGGATGTTGTTGCATGAATTCCAAAATTGAAATCCAGAATTTGAAGAAGGAATTAAGTGACCTCAGGAGACAAGTATGTTGAAATTTAATGTGTCAATAGAAATACTAAAGTTGATTATATATTGTAAGTTTTTGGATACAGTTTCACAAAACATAACATTTTCTATGTTCATTTTAATTAATTTAGTACGATTCTATTTTAATAATGCATTTAAACTCTCACTTTGCTATTTCCCTTAAAGTTAAATTTAAAAATTTAAAATATTATTTGCCCTTAAGAACTTGAAAATTATGCATTATTCCTCTTGAGCTGGCATATTTTATTTCCTTTGAAACAGTATTTATAGTGATACTTCTTACTGTCATGGTGAAGAAAGCCAGGTTTAATAAGAGTCTCGAGAGTGTTTAAGGAAATGCTGTAGAGACTTTTCATTGCTTATTTTCACTCTTGTGAATGGATACAGAGCTTATGTGTATTTATTTCATAGATTTAATAACTTGTACAGAAAGGCCATTATACTCTGCTCCAAAATATTTTCAGCTACTATAAGATCTATCTCAAATATAGACACTTGCTTCATTTTCCTTTAACTTCTTCATATAACAAAAGGATAGACCTATTCAAATCAACTGTGGTGTACACTCATGAGAATTAAAATTATCTGGATGATGACACTGGACTTTAGTGCATCAATTTATTGAGATAGAAAGGGGCTTACTAACATTCAAGTCTAATGTATACTCTGAAAAAAATGTTGGGCCAGCATTATGATGCAACAGGTTAAGCCATGGATAGTCACTCCAGCATCCCATGTTGGAGTGCCCATTTGCTCAGCTTCCTTCTTTTTTTTTTTTTTTTTTTTTTTTGACAGGCAGAGTGGACAGTGAGAGAGAGAGACAGAGAGAAAGGTCTTCCTTTGCCATTGGTTCACCCTCCAATGGCCGCCGCGGCCGGTGTGCTGTGGCTGGTGCACCGCACTGATCCGAAGCCAGGAGCCAGGTGCTTCTCCTGGTCTCCCATGCAGATGCAGGGCCCAAGCACTTGGGCCATCCTCCACTGCACTCCCTGGCCACCGCAGAGAGCTGGCCTGGAAGAGGAGCAACCAGGACAGAATCTGGCGCCCCGACCGGGACTAGAACCCGGTGTGCTGGCACCGCAAGGCAGAGGATTAGCCTAGTGAGCCGTGGCGCCGGCCTCAGCTTCCCTCTAATCTACCTAGGAAGGCAGCAGATGATGGCTCCAGTGCTACCCATTTGGGAGACCTGGATGGAGTTTGTGACTCCTGGGTTCAATCTGGTCCAGCCCTGCCCGTCACAACCATGTTGGGAGTGAACGAGCAGATGGAAGATCTGTTTTCCCTTTCACTTTTTTGTTCTGCATTTTAGGTGCATTTATTTTAAAAACACGTTGGTTTAAAAAGTTTTACACCAAAATAACTTCTCTCTTGAACTCATTTTCCCATACAGTTATTACAGCACCCTCAAATATTTCACATACAATAAATTTCACATGTTTAAACTAATAAAATTCAATGTCCGATACTGTATTCCCAACATTGTATGACCATTACCACTGTAAACTTAGGCATATTTTTCACCATCAAAATAAGCCTTGTATAAGTTATCAATAACCACTTCAGTCCCTCTGTCTTCTCTAGTCCTAGGCAATCACTTTCTTCAGGTCCTCTACAGATTTACCTGTTCTTGACAGTTCTTATAGATAGGGTGCTACAGTATATTTTTCTTTGGTAACTGGCTTCTAGCAGGTAGCATAATAATTTCACAGTTGATTCATGTTGTGGCATGTATCAGAACTTCTTTCTATTTATTGTCAAATAATTTTTATTTTTTTAATTTATGTATTTGAGAGGTAGAGTTACAGACAGTGAGAAGGAGAGACAAAGATCTTCCTTCTGTTGCTTCATTCCCCATATTACATTCAACAGGAATGTATACATGAACAGAAGGAGGTGAATTGAAAACATGTGGTGATATTTTTCAAAGTACAGATTACACCCTAATAAACTCATTGTTAAATTGAAATATCCTCAGTGAAAAATGCACTTATACACCTAGTCTTGCCAACATCCTCGCTTGTGATTGTGGTTGAGTGGGAGCTGTTAACTGCTGCTGTTCAGTGTCATGGGGAGAGCAGTGTCTGCATATCCCCAACTTGGGGAAATGCTCCAAATCAGAGTGTGTGTCCTAGAGAATGTGTATCACTTGTGCACAGTCATAAACATGAAAAAATAGAAGTCAGACTATCACAAGTATAGGCTATCACAAGTCTGTTATAGTGCTGAGTGTACCTTGGAATTAAATTGTTCCAGCTATGATTTAACAATAAAATTATAAAGGAGTGACAAAAATATCTTATAAGTAGAGGTGAAACTTTCAGTAGCAACTGGCTGACACCCTCAAAGATATATCAGAGATTTACTGGGCTCATAGTTCATTATTACCCTCTGTAAAAAGATGAGACAAAGGATGTAAGAACAAATGAAGTAAAATCAAAGATAAGCCCAGTAAGATATTCACATGTGGAAGAGAAATTCTGTAGCTGGATAAAGAATGTAACTTTTTATATGTTGAATTTCAATAAATACAGCTTTTTAAAATTTTCTGTATCATTGCAGTACACTTTTGTCATTACAGTGAATTTATTTCTTAAATTTCTGATCAGTCACTTGGCCCTTCTTGTAATTTCACTCTTTTTAAAATAATGCCCCTAGGAAAATTGAGGATTACATAGCATTTCTCATGGAAGTTGAGAGACATTTTGTTGTGTTAACAATATTGTAATATTATATTCCTATGGCTATGTGGAACAAAACCTATTAAATCACAGAATAAATGTAATGAAATGCTCCAAAAATTTTCTATTTTTTGAATGTATACCTAGCCTATGTATCTTTATTTCATATATTTCAGAATAAATTCTATAGAACAAATTCTATAGAAACTCCATTATACTCTTAGACAAAATTCATATGTTTTGATTAATTTACAATCTATTGGAAAAATTTGTCATACATGTTAGGCTATTCATGTATTCATATACAGATGTAAATACATCTGAACTAGAGAATTGTCTAGATCTTGCCACTATACTTTTTAAAATCAATGTGTTGAGATACAAGGGAGCTTCCTAAATGTACACTATGAAAAATATGCATTGGTTTAAAAAAGTTGCATGAAAATGAACTTATCTGTTAAGTCCATTATTTCCACAAACCTTTTAATGTAACCTCATATATTTTAAATAAGTTCATCCATTTAATTTAATAAAATTCACTGACCCTTAGGATATTTCCCAGAGTTATATGACCATCACAACTATCAACTTTAGCACATGCTTAGCAACCTAGAAAGAAACCTTATACCAGTTACCCATCGCCAATCAACTCTATCTTCCCTAGTCCTGGGCAATCAAATTTTTCTCAGGTCTCAAGGAGACATTTCATATAAATAGGGTCCTACAGTATGTAGTTCTTTATGACTGGCTTCTTGTATTTAGGTATTTTCTGGGTTCGCCTTGTTGTAGCTTGTGTTAGTACTTTTTTATTGTCAAATATTCTTGTATTATATAGTGCAATACTGTTCTGTTGTATAAATTATCCAGTTCATCAGTGGATTAACATTTAGGTGGTTTCTACTTTTTGACTATTATTAATGCTGCTTTGAGCATTCATTTGCGAGTAATTTTGTGAGAATTAGTGTTTTCCTCCTTGCCATTGGATTCTATCCATCTCTGGCTTAACTGTACCTGTTTGCCATCTCTCCACTTTCTTTGTGCTGTCCACTCTTCCTTTTAGTTTCTGTTCATCTAACCTTGTTTATGCAGATCGAGGCCCAAATTTCCCTTTTTTCAGTAAGCTTTTCATTCTGTGACATTTTTATCTCTTACAGGCATAACTGTTTCCAGTACTTGTCAGCTACTTTGTACATAGCAATGTAACCCTTAGTTTTACATAGCATTTTGTTTTTTTCATAGGAGATAATCTTCTCTAAATAGAAATGTAACTCAGAGGAAAATATCTGATGTGCATGTCACTTTCCTTGTATATATTGAAGATAGTTTAGAAGACATTAAAATAAATACTTTATGCTGTATTAAATGTATTTGTGAGACTTTGGCATATATTTTCATATAAGTATTAGAAAATGCAATATAAGTCAGTACTGTATTCATAGTACATTTTGTATATCTCTTTATCCATTGATAGATATTCTAGTTATATCTATCCTTTTGGGTACTCCAAATACATGTTATCTGAAAACTGGTGTGTGGCTATCTTTTGGTGTCCTGGCTTATATTGTTAACGGCTTTTACACTGCCATGAAAGTTGAGTAATGATACAATGATGATTCTGAATTCCAACTGTAATCCTAACTCTTCAGTGAGCCCTTGAGAATGAGTTATTTTGAGACTATAAATTTAATTCCTCATCAAGAATGGATACTAAATTATTGTGGAAGCTTTATTTTCACCATGGAATATACTTCCTCTGGATTTTTGTTTTTTTATTTTTTGATAGAGTGGACAGTGAGAGAGAGAGAGACATAGAGAAAGGTCTTCCTTTGCCGTTGGTTCACCCTCCAATGGCTGCCGCGGTCAGCGCGCTGCGGCCGCCACGCTGGATGCACCCGCCAATGCAGGAGCCAGGTGC